TTTTGTTTGCCAATATTTTATTACTTTTACGTCTTCTGCATTGAATTTTAACATAGTCTTTTTTTTATTACGATACGGTATACTGTTATAAGTAGTGATAATTACTGAAAAAAAATCCTAATGCACTAGAAGGGTTATCTCTATTATCACAACCCGGCATTCACCATATTACACTCGCTCCGATTGCTTATATGAAATCTATTTATCTACTTATCAGTCGACAGTTGAAAGTATCTTAAATTTATTGTTTTTATTATAAATTATTATAATCACACGAAACTACATGATTTATAAATAATGATATAAAAATATGTATTTATGATTATTTCTAAATTAGTTAAATTGTCGCAACAGCATAAACCGACTGACATACACATTGCATAATTATCAACTAAAATTATTAGGAATTTATGAATTATATAAAATATCATATCGAGTGCAATTCGAATATTCTCTACAGATTTCAAGGCTAGCACAATTATTATTCGAACCTTACTTATTTTAAGCCCAATAATTAGAACATTTCGAGTTTTGATAAGGATTAAGGAGTGCGTCCCTCACTCCATTTTTATGAATTATATAATTTAATCATGATATAATATTCCTTGCCACAACTATGAAATATTCACAGATAAACAGCACAAAGTATACTGGCGGGCGTAATGTATTTTACTGGTTAAAAAATTTAATCGTATCATTTCGTCTTATTTTTATTTTTTACGTAATATTTGTAATAATTTATGCAATTGAAACTACACAATCGTTGAGCTGAGCACAAACCGAGAAAACATGTGACTGCAACTGGCTTTGTCCGTGTCGTACACTCGTCGCGAGCATTTACTTGTAATATTGCCTCTGCGTGTATAACAACCAAAAAGATTTTGCGGCCGACACACGGTGATAAATTCTTAGATTTATCGCCATAGCCGTTGTGGTGTTACAGGTATTGTATAATGTGTGTGTATACTACAGCAGTCACGTACGCGTAAATAAAACAATTTGGACGCAGTTTCGTTTTGCTCGTGACGCTTGTTAAAAACCTAATCACAACCTATTATATTATGATTATTATTTACTGATCGGTGGCGAAGGTTATAACGGACGGGAGGAGAAATAGGAAAAACTGAATAATAACATTCTGTTATCAAAAAAAAAAAAAGCAAAATAATGTTATACTTTTGAACAAATAATTCTGACAGTCTATTGATATAATGTATACCTACTATAAACAGTACAATGCAAATTTGATTTTTGTTATGTAATATCTGTGATAACTAATATTCGTACACCTGTTTGTAACAAAAACAATTTGATCTCAACAAATGCTATTTGCATTTGATAAACGTATTGAAAAGACTATAAAAATATTTATACATTTTTCGATAGTGACGGGAAATCGCGCCTACTCCCACCTAAACAATATTATGCAAAAGAGTATAGCTTTGTAAAATATTAAAGGTGGAGGGGAATAATTTATTCAATAAAATTGAAACCATAACCTAATCGATTGCTTGTTCAAAAGTTTTAAAACTTAGTTTATTGGTTAGATTAAAGCTTTGAAACAAATCGCAGGTATATAAAAACTAGTTTGAAAAAAATAAATAATATGACCATAATTGTATAATCATAATTCATGAAATAATATTATTAATTTATTTTTTTTTAACCAAGAATGCGAAAACGTTGTCAATACGTTAATATATTATATAAAAGGATAAACGCGAAATAAAATATAAATTATGTGCAATAATTTAAGGGAAAGAATATTTTAATCTTTTAAATATATTTTAAATGCATTCATAATTTATTTTGAAAGATTTAAAGGTTTCTATTGTAGTTATATTTGGAGGAGAGCAAAATTCGTGTAAAAATGTCGGCCTTGGAATACCCCTACCTCCCCCTCAAAAAAAAATTACGCCATTGCAACTGGAGTTTATAAACTATAATATTCGTTTAATTTATTTTGTAAATTATTGGACCCACGGGCCGACGCAAGTACTTAACTTCATGTAATATTTACAAATAATAATGTTACCCTTTGGCGTTATATATCCTGCGGATATTCTGAGTATATACGTACTAATACGTACTTATTCTAACCCGAGATGCTAATATGCTATATCTTGAGAAATGTTTTAATCTACTATCATTCCTTGTATTGTGGTTGGTTCCTGTGCACTAGGGTCAAATGTGGTGATAAAACGTTTCGGATGAATGGCGTGGATGGCGGATACAGTGGTTCCGGTCGGGTTGTCGTAAGAGAATCGCATCAGAGAACGACAACAGACAGAAAGAGAATAATCGCATATATTATGACTGTATGGTTGTGTTTGCTTAGCGAAAGAATTTGCTACAGTAACTATAATAATATTATAACACGACAACCGAGATTGTGCCATTATTGTACCTATATATTACATGCATAATTTTATTATGCCGTTGTTTCCGTGTTGTGCAGAAATGCTAAAACTGGGTGAACGAACGGAATAATATTTTAATTATGAGAAATTTAATATTAGAATATACATAAATTAAGAGAGTGTCAGATACCGAGGGAGAAAGAGAGAGAGAGAAACAGATAATGGTAATGGGAGCAGACGTTGGTGGATAAATATTGTTTTATTGTGGCGTTCGTGTCAATATACGCGCGTATATGATATAATAACAAATAGTTTATTGGACAACGTGGCTCGATGAATAATGCAAAAGTACGGTAAACTGTGTACAGAAAGTGCCACAGTGTTTTCCTGTATAGCGGTCCCGGAAAAACGGGAAAACCCAGCTTTTGTGTTAAAATAATATTGTTTAAATGTGTCATTTTTATGTGGAATTATAAATAAGTCAAATGAAAAACACCGTTGTACAAATTCCTCCATTGTATAATAACAATATTATATTATTATCATATTACACACAATAAGTATATTATACACTGCGCAATAACAGCAACGTATTTTTGGGGATTATTCACATGTCTAACAAACAAAACAATGATTTTTAAAATGTTACAATTATAATAAGGAAAAATGACTTCACTCAATTCATTAACTTATTCCTTCAAAAATTACATTTACATTTAATACAAACTGAGAATATAGTTATGATTTTCTTATCACCTGGATTTTGTTGTTGAATTAACATTTTTCATTGTAATCTTCCAATTGTCTTCTAATTAACAAATTTCAGTAAAGATATGATGATTTTAATTTTAAAAAAAGAAGGTTATATCACTAAAGAATGTATTCATTAAGGTCTTAAATGACATAAAAAATTAAAGTATTTGGACATTTCATCCTTAAGAACCAAAAAAATAATCAACATTTGAGTAAATAAATTAATAAAGTAAAACATAGGGGTGAACATGCTTAAAGGATCACTCTGTATAGTTTTTATACCTATACAATATAATATAATACATCACGTACCTATATTATCTTTAACGCCTCAAGCCCAGTAATCGTACACACGATTCAATTGTGCATGCTTTGATTGCGCGCACATTGTTATATCGGGTAGCCAAAACGTCAAGTATAATACATAAATAATATGTATAAATATTTTATATATGTATATGTGAGTTTGAGTGTACACGCGATGACTAAACAATATATATATGTGTTTTAAAACAAAAAGTTCTTGCGTTGTGTCCAAAACTTTGCCTGGGGCTTTTTGTACTTCTGTCTCTTTTCTACCTCTCCTATTAATCCAACTATAGCTGTGCACATGTATTAAAAGATCTAAGATTTTGCTATAACCGTAGTCGATACTTTATGTTTATATTATTTTAATAACAATCTAATCAAAACCTATCGGATGCCGATCAACGGTTTCAAGGGAATTTAAAATAAATATTATAAATTAAAAAAATTAATAAATTATTGCATTCGTTGTATATCGTATTCAAAAGATTCATACCAATTTCGTCATATATTTAATAAAACATTTTTATAACACAATTTGGTTTCATCGGCACTTAATGTAGATATTTTTTTTTGTTTTTTGAAAGAATGTGGTTTAGTCACTCGAGTGAATTTTAATTTTATCACTAATAGTATTATACATTACAGTGGTACAATGTGTAGTGTGTACATACATCCATAATATTATATATATATATACTACATGTAACATTATTAGGGCATTTGACAAAGCGTTTTTTAAGGACTTTTGAAATATGCTTCTCGAGTAATATTTTTCCCTTCTATCCATCTTCCTAATTGTGCCTGATAATATAGTTAGATATTATATGTACTACCAAAAACTTTTAAAAGGTGTTCGCCTTAGTATTATCAATTATTAATAATACATAGATAAGTACATATATTATAAAAATTTACGTTTGAACTCTTCGTGGTGTGTGTAAATAAAAATTAGTCAATTTTTTAAAATAAGCTATTTATTACTCTTTCTCTATACTAAAATCAACTTTAAATTTATATAATGTAGTACACATTATTTAAATAAATTTATTATACGATAATTAATATGCTAAATATTTTTACTATCCATTATGATGGTAAATTTTATTCGTGCATTTATTTTTTTTATCCGTAATTTTTTCAATATTGTTTTGTTTCTATATTAAATTTGGTTAATATATATTTAAAAAAACGATCGTTTTACGTTAAAATATATTTTTTTTAGTTAATGTAATAATAATGAAATTAAGTCCTTTATGCATTGTAACAAAAACAAAACAATCAAAAACTATGAACCCACGCATTAAATAATAATATGAGTTTTGTATTTTAAAATTAAATGTTTTGTCGGGGTATGGCATTACTGTAAATAATTTTATTATTATTTCTGAAACATTGAATGAATTTTGTTTTTAGAGTTTACTCTCACATCTCAAAATATTATTTTATTTGTTACAAGGTATATAATAATATTATGTTTAATGTTTCAATAACTGCAAAAATCGTCAAAAACTCAAATTAGTTATACATACATTGTAGTCTGACCTAAATTAATGTTTGCTTTTTGATTCGGTGTTGCAGGTGAAATACTTTTGCGGTCCAGCAAGATGGAACTCTCGTGCTTCAAGTACAGTTTCATCATCGGGCACGGCTAAGACGCCAGAGAGCCAAGAAGTGTGGAACGTTGAGGAAGAGGACCTTAGCACAGCACTGCTCACTTCCAAGCTGACCAAGTTTTCCGACCCGGAAACCGCAGTCAGAGTACGAGGACTGTTCTCCGACATGGCACGATCCATGTGCACAAATTATACGACGACTGATTGTTGGAACGGCCGGGTAGTAGGAGAGTGAGTATATTTACAGGCAGTTACATAGTTAAGATGTCTAGGGTACTGCAGCCCTCTTTAAAATTACAGGAAAAATCAAAAAATGTATCTTATATTCTATAAACGCATTACACGCTTATAAAGCGATGAAGGCATTTTATATATTCTTAAATTTTTATAGGGTTATTTACGATATATACTGCCCAACCTTGAATATTATCTTTATATTTATATATATACATTATTGAAATGTAATATTTTCTCACTATCGTACGATAGTTTTATGTATCTAAACAAATTATATTATATCACAAATCGTCAAGAAAACAACTCATTCATTTATGTCATTTTCATCTTTCAATAGTGCGTAACATAGCAAATTTACAAATAACAGTTTTCACCTACTTTCGTCATTTTTAATATTGGAGTGAAACCATATTTTATTTGGTTAATTGTGGAATTTTTTTTCGGTGTGTTCATTTTAAAACCAATTATTGCTGTATAAAATATTACGATTTAAAAATGCTACTCACATCAATATGAAAATATCGAAAAATACACCCAAAAAACCTCAAAAAATGTTTTCTCTAACGTAGGTAACGTCCAATAATAGGTAAGCTCATTGTTCTAATATCAAAATAAATAAAGGTGAGCAGATTGCTGGATGTAAATTTTCTATAGTTTTATTCACTTTTAAGACAAAGAAAATACATTTGGGTGAAATATCCCGTTTTCGCGAATTATTTGGTCCACTGTATATTATATACGATGATATTATGAAATAATTTTGTATGGATCTACTTATATGAGACGCGTGTATGACAATATTATTAATAATAATTATTATTGCTGGATTCTTTTATCTCATCAGGCACGTCGACCCTTGCAACTAGGACCTGCTATTGATTTATTATTAATTTATTAAATATTAAAATAATAGTTATCATTAACGGATGGCTATTTATAAATACATATTTAATAACGATGCTATATTTGTTATATTACACAGATACACGGACAACGTCGTCGGGCCACTGTTAAGCGCGCAAATGTACAACCCGGAATTCGATTGGACGGCTTCTATCATCACGCAAGACAACAAAGTGGCGGAAGTCATTGACAAGCTCAGGCACATCAGACAAGTGAGTAGTGGGATTTGTGCACTTATGTACAGAATAAAATATATTATATAGCTAGTACTGTAGGAGATATTATGGTTGTGAGTTATTCTTTATAAATGATCCAATAAATTACATTCGGGAGAAAGGTAGGAAAAATATTATACTATTATTATTATTATTATTATGTGTTGGTGGACGATAGATCGTTTAAGATCATTAACCAAGCAATAAATGTAATTTATGGATGTTGTATTTGCTGATATTGTAGAAAGCGTATTGCGGGAATACACATATATACGATAATTAAAACATTATATTGAATTGACTAAGACGAAATGAATGAAGACTGAACTCTATATACATAAGATCAAAAAAGCAAACCAACTATTAAATGTTTTTTTTTTTTAACAGTCTATTTCTGTTTTAAAACTCTACACATTACTAATAGGGAAACAAATTCAAACAAATACCGATTATTCACGTAACACAATCGAGGTTTCATGTAATCTGTTAATGAAATTTTGAAATTAATAACACTCAGATTCTCTTTTTTTATTGCCGATTAATAGATGTAGATATTATATCATAATATGGCTCGATGCGTATTTTATTTTGACTACTATTTGCATGTATTGTTTAGACAAAAATGTAATTTACCCTTAGTTGTAGCGGTCGTAAGAACGATGAGGTTTGACTCAGTATAATTATATAAATGAGTAAATAAACATAAACGCTTTGATTTATTGTTACTACCGTTTAGATGTTTTTTTTTAAGCGTGAGAAAAAGTAAATCTCCACGATCCTCTCACTAACCTAACCCAACTCCTAATTCCTCGTAAATACCAACTACTTTATTATGCCGTTACAGCAGAATATTACCGAACAATATTTTTCATTGTGTACTTTCTTATTTTCAGACGGTGTTGAACCAATTGAGTTCAAATCCGCAATCGGATTCGTTCATGGCCGACGAGGCCGAAGGGTCTGGCGAAGGTAGTGGCGCTGGTAGTAGGGGCAGTAACCCAGGCTGGGACGATGACGATGACAACGCAGATTACTCCTCATCTGGCGACGGTTCTGGCGAAAACCCGATCACCACTCAGGTGCCTGGAGCCGACAATCCACAATGTAATTATCGTATTTTTTTCACTATTATATATATACATATATATCCAATGTCTTATTGCCGTTATTATTAAAAAAAACAATAACTAAATAATAATAAGGCTTATCGCAAAAGTATGTGACAATTAAGATAATTATCTATTTAATCGTCAGTGATGACAATTAAATAATTAAATTAAAATGGCCACTGGATTTTTATTATTACAATAATAATATTAATAATACATAATAATATATAGGTACACCATGACAATAATTATTAATGTCTTTTTTTTTACATTTTTATTTTTTTACAGTCAAAACGACTAACAAATCGGTACCAAATTCGGGACCAGATGTAGCAATAAACTCCAATAATTCGTCGGGCGCTGCCCCGTCAATACGACTGCATGCACCCCTATTGATAACGGTGTGCTTGGTGGTTATTCCTGCGTTGTAGCTACAGACGAGGATATATTTTTAAACGTACTTTTTATTATTATTTTTTGTTTTCATCGCGTTAAGTTATTATTATATTGTTGTTAAGTGAAACTTTGTTCTTGGATTTACTCGGCTTTTCTTTAGGGTGCCTTTTTGAAAAAATATATACATCTATATTCTATTTATATATATGTACACTTTATAACTCTTCTGGACACAAATTGTTTAATTATTTTAAACTCTTCTTTTTTTCCAAAATGAAACTATTTTTTAAGTTGTCATCATTATTATGTAATTGTTTTTTTTTATGTCATTTAGACTGATAAAATTTGTATTCATATAATATTATTTATATGCGAAATGTTCTCTGTAGCCTATATATGTTTAAATATGTTTGTTGTCGTAAACCAAGCGCAATAATTTGAAATAACAATCGTTAATATAATATTATATAAAATGTATATATATTATATACCATTAGACTTATTATTATACTAATACGTAATAACCCAATTTTTAACTTTGTCTCTTAACAGTTTTTTTCTCGAGCAATAATAGTACATAATAATAATTTATATTTTAAAACAATATAAATTTACGATAAAAAAAAAAAAAGAAAAAAAAAACCAATGTAAATATTTGTTTAATATAGTTTTGAACACTTATCCATAATAATCTATATATTATATTATATTGTTAAGCTCTACACACGTTTATTCAACGGACGATTTTATATTTTCACTAGTTCCGCATTTTTTTATTTATCTATCTTATTTTTACTTTTTTCACCCGCGGTGATATGATTTTATATTTTATTTATTTATTTTTTTTTTTATCAAGTCGAGTAGCACACAAATATTTTGACTCCACGACTCGATCTTCACGCTATCATTGCAATACATACTATCTGTCATAGATAGATATTGTCCAAAATAATATTTCGATATTTAAACAAACAGCGAAAAACAAGTTAATAATATAATATAAAGTAGCGTATATATGTGTGGTACATAGTATTATAGTATATAGATCGTTATTTATTACTGTTGTAATTTTGTCGTCGTCGTTTCGAGATCGAATCAAATTTTCGATAAAAATAAAAAATAAAAACACGTGAAAAGGAAAAATGAACAACCCTCAAACGTATGCATAGAAGAACGAGCTGACATAATATTTTTATTATATACAATACTATATATATATATATTATTATCTGATTTATTTATTTATTTTTAAATTATTGTTATTATTATCAGACACGTTTTTTGTGTAAATCGTTTTTTTTTTTTTACTGTGAGACGTAATATATCTATATATGATATCGTGTGAATGTACCTATGATGTGTGCAACATAATATTTTGCAAACACTGCGCACCGATAACGGAATTGAGACTACATGCGGGTGTGGTCGTCATCGGATATTCCTTTTGGGCTTCCAGTGGGTAAAAGAGATTGCTTGCTAAGAGAAAAAAAATTCCTATATTTTTCGACATTGAACGTAATAAAAAATTTCAATAAAAATGAAATAGATAAAAAGGATAAATTTATTAGGAAATTGTGTTGTTTTTATGAGAGGTTTTTGTTGGATAAAAGAAATATATTGTATAATAATTAGCCGAATCTTATTATTATTATTATTATTATTATTTACAATGTTTTCACGTATGTATTGCCTTAGTTGTATTTTATTTTTATTATTATTATTTTTTTTTTCATTTTGACGACTGTGATTTGTATAGTTAAGTAGACAAATTTAAAAATTATTATTATATAAATTGTCTTTAATGTTTATTCAATGCTAATATAATAAAATATACTGTATAGTTACAATATGTATAATATTATTATAATATGATAATAAAGAATACAATTTCTAGACCATACGTACATACAATCTACATTATACGAATTGAGTTTATATTTTGTGTTTTTTGCGACGAACAGAAAATAATATTATGAATATCGAGTAGCACGACGACGACGCGACGCGACCACACGACAGAGCAGTTAAGTGCAAATATCGCGTACCTATTCGTAGCAATGACGAATAACGACATTAACGATCCAAAGACACACAACTCATATTATATTATTATCATTATTCACGCTTGGTATTTATTATTATGGCCAATATTATAACACGTCATTTCTTGCAAACTCTCGGCGACCGTGCAGTAAAATACGCGAACTTCAATTAATATGACCGTTGCAATAAAGTATTTGATTGTATTTTTTTAATCGTTTATTATGCCACGCGCCGGCGATTGAAACCGACACAATCGGATCACCTTTAGCCTGGACGGCCAATAGTGAATTTCGATTTCTGCTGCAGCTCACGATCGTTATGTCATTATGAATGACTATTATTTTTAATTACTACAGTAGCAACGGTTTCATGCATTATTAATAGCACAATATTGATACAAATCATAATATATTATAAAGTCATAAATCACAATAAATATTAAATAATATCAATGTGTAATATTAAATAATTTTTTAGCAGAACCAAAACGCGAGAATAGTAAGTGTACATGATTTCATAATTCTTGTCCAGTATTTAATTATTGTTCGTCAGCGCCAATGGCACTCAATCGTTTTATATAGGAGATGTCAACGTTTTTTATTTCATAACCATCTCGCCAATTAATTACATACTTATACCAAAACGTAATCAATTTTATTACATTATTCATTATTAATGAAATATGTATTGTTTATTAGTTCTTTACACGATGAAAAAGGCTCACTGCAGTAAATTAATACGTAAGTTACTCAACCACCCACCAATCACTTTTGTAAAGGCTTAAACCAAAATCCCGGTACCCTTTTGTGTGGGTTATTGTTTAACGCTGTGGACTAAATGTGATTGTATTTGACCTTTTGCATTGCAGATATATTATGAACGCCTAATATGACATTTTCATACACAGTGGAAAAATTCGATAAAAAAACAACAAATTCATTTTAGTTGGATGGGCTTAATTATACGAATGAATAATACATTAATATTTTGTGATTATATTACCACACTAAAAATTACGATAAATAATAAAGCATTTGAAAAATAATTCTGAACTGTTCAAAGTTTTTGAAACGCTCTCTTAGGTTTCTGTCCAACACAAATCAGTCACTGGAAAAAGATAAAAAAACATTTCGGAATAAAAACTATCATCACCAACTGAATCTTAATCGATTACATTTTATTTGTACGACTGTGCACAATTACACTTATTTCTTGGTTTTTTACATATTTTCTTTCTCTTCGACTTATAAGTAATCAGTAGAATTATTCGTTAGAGATAAAACGTTTCGATTTCGTAAAACGAAATCATCTAACTTGAAAAAAAAAACAACCAATTGATAAAGATTAATACGAACAACAACTGTTTGAATTTCCAGAATAAGTAACATAATACATTATACAGTAGGCAATCATAAAATACGTAGTTATATAAAAACAGGATTTGCAGGTTTCGTAGATCGCACCTATCATTCATTTGACCGATTATAAGTAATGATCACTTGTCACGAAGGAGGAAAACCAGACTGATATTAAAATCAAACCGTAGATCCACCGTAATGGCCTTTTCCCGCGTCTTATGAAATTCTGCAGATAGGCCAATAACCATCGGTTAAAGTCCCACCGGGCGGTAAATATAGATTTTATTATTAGTCATTAATTATGTATATTGTATGTCATTTTATTTTATTTTATTAATATCATAGCAATGTACTTACATTACGTTACTGTAAAATATATACATGTATTAGTTAATTTAACTATACACCTATATTCATACTTATCCGCCAATTCCGCCCAAACGTAAGGTATAAGATGTAGTAATTTATAATTATTCACCTAAATGCAACATTTCGAGTCAATTTTCGCAAAAAAATTCTTAAATCTACTCTCCTAATTAAACGATATCCAGTAGAACATGAAACCCATAGAAGCAACAGGAAAATCCCCAATCCGTTACCCGGGAAAGTTTTCTAATCCGATTATTACTCGGGGGAACCAGATTGTTGTGGTGAGTTACCGAGTAAAACTCAGCAGGCCGCTCAGAATTTGGGCCAGTAACGAGTGTTTGGTTGTAATTTTTCATTTTATAATAAGATAAATTGGTACAAATGTTAGTACGAGTAGAAAATAAAACTGTAGAATCGAATTATTAAACTGTACGGTAGCTGTAATTGTAATCATACGTTAAAAATCCTAAAACTCGGTAGGCCGACACCTTGTCAATCCGTTACTGCAGGTAAGAACTACGATAGAATGGAGTAGGCTGTCAATATAAACAGGCACCTCAGCTTTTATGTTCCAGTCGGACTTAGTGGTCAGATCAAGAGCAATGATTTCGAGAAGAAATCATTGAGAAGAAGGCATTCATTTAAATGTACGCAACACAAATATTTTTAAATATATTATTAAAAGCATTAAATTCATTACTTGAACTTATTACTAAATTATCATTTAGAGATAATGTAATAATGTAAATACAACGGATGAATCAACGAATTTTAGTTATTTCGTATTTATATTCATACATTATTTATTAAAATAGACTAGGATTTAAATATAAAAAGCATGAATATTATTATTTTTATTTCTATTTTTTTTTTAAATATATTTTATTATCTACCTTATTAGATTAAATATTTTTTTGAAAAATATGTGATTATGTATTATGACATGAGTGGTGTAATCTCTAATAGGAAAACCTTGGATGAATTGTACATGATAATAGGTATTAAATAATATGTATATTTACAATAGAACGTGGACAGTAAATGTAAACAATTTCATATTTCAAGTTAAATATTTAAGTAAGCATTAATTAATATAGTCTCAACACGACGCCTGCTGTTTAGCTGATTTTAGGACAATTTTCTATCTTTAATAGTTAAATAACTATAGAACAATAAATATTAATTTTTTTTAGATTTTATAATAATGTATTTTCTTTTGTTTTTAGTTAATAAATTCATAATAAGTTGTCAATAAAATTCTTTGACTTTAAAATTTGAAAATAGTTTTGAATATCAAAGTAGATTTAATTTGTACTTTAGAAAAATCGAAATTAAAAACTTTTTTCATGTTTTTTTTTTTTATAATCAAAAAATTAATGAAGTATACGTTTGGTATAGCAAACTGTACGTTTGCCAACCTTGTTTTTTTAATTTTTGTTTAAACATTAAATCATAACAAATATTTATATTAATTTCACAGTTCTATTGCAAAATAGTTAA